TTCTTCTATAGTTCTTTGTTGCTGTGTCCTGGATTCAACTAATAATTAGAGTTATAATCTTCTGAAAGCGCATTAGAATTTGATAATACATTCTGGTTCCATCCCTTTAGTATCACTAGAAGGCATTAATAGTGAACCCCACAAAGGTCTTCCATACTGAAAGAAATGTTGTAGGTCTTCTGACTCCTTTAATGTCATAGTTTCCTTAAAATTAACAAAATTGATATTCATGTTCATAGTGGCTAGTAAATAAAACTGTGCAAATAATTTGGAACTATGCTGTGCAATTCTTTTAGATAAATTAAGGTAAGAAGTGGGCAAAAAGTTCAAAATATTTGAATGTATGTCTGTAAAGACTGCAAAAATTCCTGCTTTTTCGGATAAAAAAATTAAAGCACTTCGAATATAATAGAACAGTGAATTTTTTTCAATGTTCTTACTTTCAACCTTTTTACCAACCAGTATACGAGCTTCATCGAATGCAAACAGGTATTCAACTGAACCTTTTTATTCTATATGTTTTTTCTTAACTAAATATTTCTTGACAAATTCAGTCATCTCGCTATCCCTAGAACATTTTATAAGATGGGACTTAATATCTCCCATTCAGTTCTCAACATCTCTTCAAAATTTCTCTTGCAAATTTTTATTGATATGCCAATCTATTCATTCCTTAAAATCTCTATCAAATTTCTGCATCTTTTGAAAACATATGCATATGTATGCAAGGTAGATAGAAATGGCTTTTGTTCATTCATAAAATCTCTTACTAGTATGTTGGCAATATCTGATCTGGATGGATAACCACTTGATTTGAAGTCCCACAGACAACAATATATAGTCATTATCTTTTCTGCAACATTTACCAATAATTTGAACTTTCCTGTGCCACTGGCTCGAACTAAGGTTTTGTATGGCACATAATAACTTTTTATCATTTCGTAATTATATGGACATTTGTCAATAAATTGTATGAACCTTTCTGAAAGGTTACTTGGATCTTGAAAAGTTCTATTAAAAGCTTTCTGTTCAATTTCTTCATCTTTTTCACTTCTAGAACAATATGACGGATCTTCTATATAATGTACAAGAAATAATTAAACCTCACCAAAAATCACTAATAGAATAATACTATTCATAATCAGCTAACTTGATGATTTATTTGCTTTTTCTAAGTAGTAATAAGCATCAAGATAAGATTGCATTAATTCAGGTTATTTTCGTTCTGCTAGTGAACTAAATAACATACCTTTTTTTTTATCAAATATCTTGACTAGATTATCAATCGAACATTTTTGTTGTTTAAAGAAGTTGATAATTTACATTTTTGACTAACCAAAATTCATTTCTTTATTTCTAATAATAAACACATAATTTACCAATGGGCCTTCAATATTAAAGCATTTTTTTAAATGTTTATACAGTTGAGTAAAATCCTTTCAGGTGCTGGAACTAACACAATAAACATCTGAATCAAGGTACTGAAAGTATAAGAGGGCTAAAAGCAAATTGTAAGTTTTGTAAATGATATCACAATATAATAAAATGAGGAAACTAAAATATTCATAGTACTTACCAGTATCTGTATAATAAATATAAGGCACAAGTTAATAAATGAAATTATTATGAAGAAAGCAGTATAGGTTTGGAATATTTGAATACAGTAGTAGTACTACTTATCCTGGGCCTCACTCTTGAGTTTTTTGACCAACATTGCTATTGTGTATGCTGGTCCCAGTTGCATTCCATGTTCTTCAAGTTTTTCTTTAAGTTTTTTTTGACTTAAATTGAGAAAGTAATGTTTAGAAAACTTTTTCCCTATGATTATTTCAATATCATCATCATCAAGTTCTAACTCTACTTTATTTTTCTTTAAGAAATTAATAACATTGACTTGCTTCCATTCCTTCTAAAACTCTTAAACTGATGGAAAAGAAATATTTTCAAACATGATTATTTGTTTTTGTGTTGCTAAATTTTGTTTTAGAAAAAAATGGTCGTACAGTACATTCACTCATTTTATAGTTTATACAAGCAATCAGATTGTCATACAACAGGTCACGCATGCATAATTTCTATACAATACATCATCATAACACAATACAGTAATATAACAATAAGGTAGCCATGCGACTTAGTCAGGCTATATAGAAACCAGGAACGAAAGCAAATATAGTAGTTAACAAATAGTTATTAATATATTGTGAAATATTTAATCAATCAAAAAAAGTTTACAAGGCATTATGTAATAAATTAAAAAATTTTATGAAATTAAATAAAAAACATTAAATATTAGATAAATAGACAAATTAATCTGTATTGGGTAACCAATTTTTGATTTGAAAATTCTTCTTTTAGTATCATTGGTTATTGTAACTACAACATCATTTGCGGTTTTGTTTTTTATTCAAATTATACTTTAATTACATATGAGTGTTGCCAAGAGAAAACCTGAATCCAGAAATTATAATTTATTATCATATGAGCTAATCTGTTTTATGCATAAGCAAAACACTATAGCACCCCAAATTTTGTTTATATAAATCAGGCCATTTGACATTGTAATTGTTTTGCATTATTTTATTATTGTGCTATGATAGCACTGCTATCACTAAACAATTGTAATGATTTTATCATATAATGCAGTCAGGTATTTTACATGATTTAGAAATGATCTGCAATATACTAAGAGATTATTATAAAACTGATTTTTATTTAAAAAAAGACATTTTTTATTATCTAAAAATAACAATCAGTTTTAAAAAAACCTTTAAAATATTCTTGTAAAAGTTAT